AGTCCTGACTATAACTTATAGCTGTGATCTGTTTCAGCTAAACAGTTGAACTCTGTCTTCGGGCAGAGAGGAACCTGGACGAAGCTCCGCTGAAGGGCACAGTCTCGTTCAGGGAAGTAGACTGACCCTGAACCTGTTTATGTGGGTTCAAAAAGGGAATATTTTTGGCCGAGCTTACGGGCTTGGAGAACCCATGTTAAATCGGCCTTGTGCCACATGCAACCCTCTTGGGGGGGGTAGCTAAATATTATAACTTATAGAGTTAGTCATCTACAAAAGTGAAACAACAATGTGTGCATGTATGAATGAAAAGACGACATTTTGTAGGCAAAGAATGAATACAAATTCCATTAAAGATTTAGTCACTACTTACTTCATCATGATGTCTGTGTTTTTCTTTCTCACTGGATTTCTTCTTCTTCTTCTTTTTGTGTTTATGCCTCCGTTCCTCAGACTCACCAGTGTAGACTTCGGCTACAGGCTCAGTGACTTTCAGCACAAGCTTCAAAGGTTTCTCTGTTGGTTTTTCTGTTGAATGAACAAAACGGAATTAATTGTTTCTTACAGATCTTGTTTTGGACATGGCAAAAAAAAAAAAAAAAAAAAAAAAAAAAAGAAAGAAAAGTAAAAAGAGAAAAGAAAAGAAAAAAAAGAAGAAACTCTTTAAATTTCATATTTTGACCATTTATTAAGGACATTTCAGCATTTTACGTTCCAAAAAACAACAGTCTCCTTCAGTAAATAACCACATTCAACCACGGATTTAACATTATGCAGTATCATTCCTTTTCTTTCTCTATTATGGTTTTCTACCTACAGTTTCTCACTGACATCTACATTCACTTCTCAGACTTTCATCAGGTTTCTTTCATCATATCAGCTTGAACAGGTATAATACTTCAATACTAAAACCAATCAGTTTGCAATGGTCAATATATATATATATATATATATATATATATATATATATAGTATGTTTATTTTAATACCTATACTCGACTAGTATAAAAAAAAAAAAAAAACAGATTATACAATTTGCAAATAAAAATATATCTAAGCAAACTGGTATCTGGGGGAAAAAATCTGGAAAGAAAAGAAAAGACTAAAAACATCCGAGTAGGTAAAAAAAAAAAAAAAAAAAAAAAAATTGCACAACACTGTAATGCTTAACCAAAAGAAAAAACTCCAATTGAGTAAAATAAGAAAAAATGTAAAGTGCACAATATACTAAATAGATCAAACTATAAAAAGCTAGAAACTACCTACCTAGGTTTCACCTAAATGGATCTTCAGGGTGAACTGTTCACCTTGAAGATCCATTTAGGTGAAACCTAGGTAGGTAATTTCTGCTCACTAGGATCATATATATATATATATATATATATATATATATATATATATATATACATGCATACATAAGGCTATGGTGGAGCCTCAAGACTTGAATAGAAACCTTCCTAAAGATGGTGTCTTGATAAAAACACTTGGTGTACTTGGACTACTGTGAGTGTCTGAGTTGGGCGTCAGGAAGAGCATCTGGCCTTGTAAAACCTTGCCTCAAATCATTATGACAAATCCTCTATCAAGCAGGACCCACTTTGCTTTGTACAAGATTAATCCTGGTCCTGCCTCAACAAAACACATGGGTTTGATCAATGTTCTTTGTTGAGTTTTTTAATTTTTTTTTTTTTAAATATTTGAACAGTCATAAAAATCCTCTGGGCTTGGACAACTACATATTTTAGCAAACAACAAAGGAATTAAACAGAATATAATGACATAAATTATAAATAATTAGTTCACGATAAATAATTTGTTACAAATCACTTCCTTGATGGCAAGATGGTCAAATTTCAAATCTAAATTGTTTGTCCATTTAGATTACTACATTTATTAAAATATTCAGTTGAAATATAAAAAGAGTCATAAAATGACTTCAAAGTGCTGCACATTTTGGCTTATACTCTTTTCCTGTTATTCAGGAGTTGTTACCAGACAGAAAGGGAAATTAACACTTGTGACACTGATGTTCATTTCAATTAAATTGTGTGTGTGCATGTATATTTTAATTCAATTCTACAAAATATTTAAAATAATTGTATCTATTATCAAATAATTTCTGAAAAGATCAATAAAAATCTTATAATTATCAGATTTGTTTAACATTTAAAAAAGGAATTTTTTTTCTTGTCTTCAACTTTATGATTTTATTGCTTAGGGGACTTCCAGACTGAGGAAAATGTATTATTGAGAGAGTATATATATATATATAGATATATATAGATAGAGATATATATAGAGAGAGAGAGAGAGAGAGAGAGAGAGAGAGAGAGAGAGAGAGAGTGTGTGTGTGTGTGTGTGTGTGTGTGTGTGTGTGTGTATGTATATATATATATATACATTAAGTGGCACAAGCATAATTCATTGAATATTGCTGCCACATTTGGTCTGGTGCTCCTGCTATTTATTTAGAGATTCTTAATAAAATACAAAGAAGAATCTGTAATGTTATTGGTTTTGATTTGGCATCTCAGATTCAATTACTTCCCCACCAGTGTAACATAGCTTCCCTGTGCCTTTTCAATAAATTCTTTCATGGTAATTGTTCTGATGAGCTTTTCTTTTTGGTACCTAGACTTTATGAATTTAAGCGCAGTACTAGATTGTCAGATAGGTCTCATCATTTTACAGTTGAAATAGCTACATTTAACTATAAGTTCTATGCTAACAGTTTCTTCTATCACACTTCTCACTTGTGGAATTCTCTTTTGGCTTCTTGCTTTCCAGTCAACTTTGATCTTCAAAAATTTAAATGCAATGTCTATTGTTATCTTCTGTTTATTTAATTCCCATTCTTTTATTATTCTCTCTCATTAATGTTTTTTTTTTTATCTCATATTCTCTAACACTCAGTAACTCCTGTTGGCTTTATTACCTTGCTTGGGGTAAAATGATTTAAAACAAAAAACAACAACAAAGACATATGCACATACATTGCATATATGCATGCAAAGTCAGATGCAGACATTCTGTAATAGACAAGGAATCAGCTCTTCTTGCTTAATATAGACTGATTTCTCATTTATAGAACATCTAAATTGTCATAAGTGAAGTAAATTTACATCACATTTATTTAGATGTTCTATAAAAGGGAACTGCAGAAATGCTTTGCAATATAACTGAATAAAATTAAATTGCATTTCATTTAAATGAAGTTTCTATATCTGCAGTTAGATCAGCTTTTTTTTAACCAAGTGATAAAATGAAAAATATCACTGTGGCAAAATAATTCTCTTTTTACTCATCTAAATAAAATATATATTTTTTGTTTTGCTTTCAGAGCAAAAAATAGAGCATTGCTGCCTAGTTCTCACTTTCTAGCCTTGATACAATTCAGAAGCATTTTTGCAGCCTTGTGGGTGATGAATTATTTTCCACTCTACAACCCTTATCCCACAAATGAAATACCACTATTCTATCACTATTTCCATAGTAAATGTTCTGATGAGCTAAATTACTTAGTTCCACCTGTCAGGCTATGTACACTGGAATGAATAAAGAAGGAAGTTCCATTTCTTTCCAAGGACCGCTGCTTCATGGAACAGACTCCCGTGAGGATGCTTCTCCAATCACTACAATCTTAACCTCTTTAAGTTTAGTGTTAACTGATTTTCTTTTCAACATATCATCTTAAATGGCCCTCCTCTTATGTGCAACAACCTCAATCAGCGACTCTCTATCCCGAGTGGTGCATTGACTTTGTATTGGGTGAACAATTAGTAAAACCCCTGAATGACAACACAACCAAAATAAAAAGAATGAATTAATTTTTTTATAATTTATAGCATATCAAACATTATATAAAATTTTTAAATGGAATATTAGTCTTAATGAATATCCTTCTATTTGAACAAGTATACTTTTCTTGATTGTTATGCTTGCAACATTTGACCTTTGTACCCTCTGACATTCTCCAGGTGTCTGTCATACTTGGTAACCTCCTCAAAATTTTTAACTGAACCCTTCATTCAATTCAAGTGGGTGTAGATTGTTCTGATTCCACTTTTCCAGGTATCTGTTCTCTTCAATTTATTTGTCTTTGTGTCACTTATCTGTTTTATCTTTTTAAACCAGAGTACATGACTTTTAGTACAAAACAACCCAGGGATTGAACTCACAACTGCCAGGGAACCATGTAAGACTTAATTTATGCTCTAATCCATTAGACCATATGTCTCTTGAACAATCCAATGATATCCGCTAAGCACGGAAAGCAGAATGAGAACAATATACCTTGTGAAAAGAATAAAGGGGTTGGGTTAAAATTCTAAGATAGTTACTGTGTATGACAGGCACCTGAAGAAGACTAGATGATACAATGGTTGAAATATTTTAAGTATAAGCAGGCATTATATTTTAAGTATAAGGCATATAATAACTGATTCTTTATCTTAACTAAATTAAATATTTTCTGTCTACTTAATTCCTGTCCTTTTATTGTTCCTTCTCCTTAACAAGGTCTTTTTCCTCATATTCTCTCACACTCTGTAACCTGTAGCGAGTATGAAATGATAACTCCCTTTACTCAAGATGGCAAGAAATTTTGTGAGCCGGTGTGAAATTTTCTTTGGATCAATGAAAACCTTGCCTTCACAGAGACTGGCCAGCTAGCTGAGAAGAGAAGGAAATAATTTTGTGAGCCTGTGTGAAATTTTCTTTGAACCAATGAAAACCTTATCTCCACAGAAATTAGATGTTGGGCCAAGAAGAAAGAAAGAAAAGGAAGTTGTGAGCCAATGTGAAATTCCTTTTGATATAAAAAGAGGAGAAAATTTAAATTAATAAGAGAAGAGCATCTTGAGTCATGTTAAAGGTTTTGTTTCTGTTCACTGTATCCAGTATAGAAGTTTTTGCCAGTGTCAAATTACTCACCAATTATATTATCGGCTTTTAAAAAGAATTTTCTTTCAACAATTAAAGCTAAGTATTTCAAACTGTCTTTGTCTACTTTTGAATATATGAAACTGTTTATCCCTTCTGTGAGCAACAAACTCTTTTGTTTTAAACATTTTTAAATATTATTTTGTGTCAGATCATTTAATCTGTTGTAAGAATGTTTCTTCTTCATGGCAATTCGTTAAAACTACGGACTTTAAAAATTTCTGAGTTATATTCTTGAAACGAGCTACTCACACAACTTCAAGCATGTAAATTTATAAATAAATTCCTTATCATATTTTGTTAAAATTACCCATGTGTTTCTTCATCATTATCATCCTCCATTAATGTTCTTGGTGTGGTCAAATCAAATGTTCCTTTTAACTTTGAAACTCCATGCTACTATAATTTCAGTACTGTTTGTGAAATGATTAAAAATAAAAGAAAATAGTATGTTTGTATCTTATGTTATTGCTTTCTTCAGACATGTTGACTATCCCACAGGGCTTAGGGTGGAAAGATAAATTATATGAGACTGGCTGCTGTAAAGTCGAATAAACACAAAGATAACATGAGATGTGGTAAACTCAGCAACTTTATTCAAACTGCTGCTCATTCTGTTTTGCTTCCAGCATTCTCTAGTGGGACCAGAAGTGCTTACAATCATCATAATCAACATTACTGATGTTGTTATAAACATTGACAAAGTCAACTCTGCTGCAGTTAAAAATATATTTGTACTAGTTGCTTTTTTTTTTTTTTTTTCTTTTTCAATAGTGTATATAATACATTTGAAACTTGTCCTATTGATTGTTAACAAAAAAAAAAAAACAAAAAAAAAATGAAACTGGACATATTAAAACACCTGTCAACAGAGGATGTACTGGCGGTAGCACATTGGTTTGCAGGCATGAAAAACGGTATCCGCAAGACAAGTTCAGACTCCAAGCTAGTTTATTGTGTCCACTTTTAATACCCTTGGGAAAGGCATGAATCCATCTCTTTCCCCCCATCTATGGGTAAAATAGAAGGATAGTCTGGGGTTTCTAGTTTTGGGTGGCAGACAGTTTAAGAGAAAAACAAATGGGAAACACTTCATTATCTTTCCTAAGACGTCACACCAATTCACAGATAATACAAGGAATCTGCCGAGAGTCATGATCACCTGCATCCTTCGATGACATTGACATGGCATTTAAAAAACTGATCAACTCCAAATAAGGTAGAGCATTACTACTGAACAATGGGTTTGATTCTCACTAGGTGTCCCACAGTTGTACCCTTGTTCCAAAACGTGGACAAATTTATTTAGTGCCCAGAACGGCAGTAAATAAGACAGAAGAAGAATATCCAAGTAAAAGTGCTCGTTCCGCGATGGTGTAAAAAAATTTCAACAATCACCGCAGTTGGTGAGTGGAGATTGTTAATCACTTCCTTATTTTTAATCAGAAAATCTAACTCAATATACAAAAAAAACTTTCCTTTTTTTTTTTTTATATTATCGGCTTTTTTTTAAAAATAAATGAATAAAAAAAAATTAATAAGTGAATTTCAGAAATGTATTTGAAAGATTTTGTAAGGTTCCGTTACGCATCATAACTTTTATCAAATTGCAAACAAAAAAGTGTAAATAAACCAATAATAGAAAAAAAGACAAACTAGGTAGAAGAGTTGGTATCAATAAAAAAAAGATACAAACAAAAAATGCTTAGTTCAAAGTTAAAATAAGTTTAAAGAGATGCTTTGAATAGCGACATTGTAATTTTTCGTCAATTTCTTTAAATTTTTATGATTTTAAATCGTTTGATGATACCAATACAAATTATTTTTTTAAATTGTTCGGAAATTAAAAAAAAAAAAAGAAGAAAAATAGAGAATCGAATTTAAATAGTTTTTTTTCCCCTCTTGCAAAAAATTCAACTTGAATCATTAACAGTTCATTAACTTAAATGTAATTTAAAATTGTTAAAGCAAAATTACAAGGTAAACGCAAAAAATAACGGATCGATGATTCGAAAATAAGAATATTTAACAAGCAAACAACAATAAAAACATAAAAAGTGAAAAGCAATTTCCCGATCCTTAAAAAAAATGTTTTGTTTCTTCGTATTCTTTCTCCAAAGTTTCAACTTCCATTGTTTTGTATTGAGCCTTTAAAAAAAGACACCTCTAGCTAGATTAATGAATGCCGGTAACCACACAACTATAAAATAATGCACCGAGACAAAGTAATCACATGAAAGAGTAATAAGGAATGATTTACCTTCCAATTCAAGGACTTTCTTCTCAGATTTGTGATGTTTCTTATGTTTTTTACCCATTTTTTATTAAGAATCGTAAGTCAATACTTGACCCACACTAATCGAGGGATCAAGTAGATTTAGAATTCCTTAGGATAAATATTCCGGCTGGATTGCCCCGGATATAATAATTTATTAATCATTTAATAAAAAGATACGTAAAATAGTAATAAATAATAAATATGCGCTAAATTTAAGTAAATTAAATACTATAATTTATATATTTTGTAAATTCATGTTTGTTTTATCCGTTTTTATAATTAGACTTAGTGGACGTTTTATGACCGGTTAAAATAATTTAGCGACAGTGCTTTAAAATCAACACTGATATTTACTGAAGTCATATTTTTAAAAATTCATGAAATTAAACTTTATTATTATTTTAAAATATTAATATATCAACGATTTATGTTATATTTTAAGAAAGAAAAAATATTATTACGGTAATATAATATTTACGACAGTCCGTCAACCGTTTTGTACCACGCTTTTTCACAAAAATGCACCGACGATAACAACATTTTAAAATTTACAAGAGAAGAGAAGAAATTAGGAACATGAGAAACTTTTCGACTTTGTGAGTTCTTAATATCGTTTCTGGCTTAGTTCTCTCGTCACTAATTTTAATTCTAAATTGCTTCAAAATCTGGCTTAAATTTAAATCTGAAAGTTACATCACAAGGTCAATGAAGAAGCAACAAGAAAAACGTACGAGTTTTAATAAGTGGAAAAAAGTAAACATTGTTTTCAGCTTTATATTGCATTTTAATTTATTGCTATGAATAAACAAAAGCAACATCAATTGTTCATATGCTAACCGGTAAAATAGGGTTTAGTTTTTTGTTAGCGAAAATTTTGAGTAATAAACAACAACTTTTGATACGTGTTACTGTTGTCTAAAATTTTGTTTGTTTCTCTGGTTCATATTGATTCAATGTTGTTCTTTCATTAATTAAAATCAATTATGAAGAATTATTTTTGTAGTCTAACATAACTTAGTGTCATTGTCAATGTCAACGTACACACAAAAATTCACATAATTCCTAAGTTACTCATAGTCACTTAGTGTTTTTTATCCGACTTAAAATCTATGAAAAAATACTTTTACAAGTCATTTTTATTATTCCTTGATGTTGGTTATCCTATTTTCACGTTTGGTTTTAAATTCTTTTCTTATTTGTTGAAAGTTAGAAAAATTTCAGAATATGAAACCAGATTAAAAAATATTTTTTTTTATTAGTGAATTGTTTGAAAATCTGATGTTTGACTCTTCTGTCAGCTCTAAAGTTCTAGTTACAATTGATAGTCGAGCGATAAATCTTTAAAGTCACAAAAAAAATGATGCTCGTTTTTAAAACTAACAAAAACTAGCTACCGAAAAGTTATTTATTTTTTAGTGTAGTCATTTTTTAAAAAAAATTAATGAAAGTAAACTTTTATTATATAAAATAAAATATGCATATAACATGCTGGTGCTGTATTCACATGATTCTAAGTTTGCATTTTCATTTACACTACAGTGTAACCCGGATATAAGAGAGTTGTCGGGACCGGAGAAGAAGTCTCTTATATCCGGGTTTGGTCTGTTTTTTTAACACAGGCTCTAATTTGGGACCAGAGAAAATCTCTCTTATATCCGGGTTACACTGTATTTTATTTTTATATAATAATTTAATAATAAATTCTAAGTAATGTCACCTATTGATAAGCGAAGCCAAGTTATGTCAAGGTGAACTAATTTCTGCTAATAAAAGGCCCAACCAAATTCAATAGCAATTTTAGCAAAAATAATCTAAATTCGCGATATTTATCGGAAAAAAAGTGTGTTTGTAGCCTGACACTTTTTTTTACCAGCTGAATTGTGATCTGAAATATTTATTATAATAAATGTGAATTATGGAGGAGAATTTGGTTAAGAAGTGCATCTGCAAAGGAAATTATCTAGAAAAAAAAAAAAAATCTATTTCTTCATCATTAACATTTTTAGGGTACCCACACATCCACGAGGTTATGCTGAAAATGTCTTGGCTTGACCCACTCACTCAAATGCACCCATATGACTAAAAATTAGATTTATTTTTGGAAAAGGATTCTTGGTCAGGCCGAGAACTTTTCAACACCACTTTCTGTTAAAATTTATATTCCTGAATTATTGGTTTTCTTTTTGGCTGCCAAATTATGCAATTTAAATACAGTGTAACCCTGATATAAGAAAGATTTTCTCTGGTCTCAAATTAGATCCTGTGTTAATGTATATAAAATAGACCAAACTCGGATATAAGAGACTTCTCCGGTCCCGACAACTCCCTTATATCCGGGTTACACTGTAGTTGTATTTGGGCAGTAATCCCACTTTTACATTGAACAAAAAACAGACAAGGTACTTTTGTTTAGTTTTTTTCTTCTTTTCTGGACTTAATGAATGTAAAATATTTCTCAAACTACCAAAAGTTTGTTTCCGAGCATTTTGATTTTTGGTTAACCATTCTAAAGTAATAATATTTTTTGTTGCTGTAAGTGTACTATGACGTGTAAGTGCTGTTGTAGGTAGATGGTAAAAAAACAAAACAAACTTAATTTCCAAATGTCTGTGTGTGTGTGCGCCCACGAATTTAAAAACAAAAGGACAAGAATAAACTTTGTTATGAATCCAATGTAGAAATGTTTGACCCTTTTGGTCTTTTTTATTCTCTCAGTTAATTTAATATTAAATCGGATAATAGAGCTGGCAAACTGAGTTTGTGTTCATCTCTCGGCTTCAGGTGCTCTTGGAACGGGCATGAAAGCAACCCTTCTACCCCATAAATTATTTTGGCTATAGTTTTTGTAACTGATATGCCTTAATTACCTAAGGAAGAAATATCAACCACAAATAACAGTATGTGCCCTTTCGACTTTAAACTTAATTTAAGTTTAAAGTGGAAACATCCATTTCCCCTATTACTGACTGAATAGGTAATTAAGTTACTTAATTATCTATTCAGTCTGTAATAGGGGAAATGGATGTTATATTCACCGTTTTGTTAATTATGGAAAAGGTCTCTAAACACTGTATATTCCCTAGCTCCCCACAGAGCAGGATGTGGCACAAGGCCCGTTTAATGTGGGAAGGTTTCTAAACATTTTGTACCTGAGAAATAGCTATAGCAAAATACTAAAGATAGGATTTATGTCCCCTTGATCCAACAGTTATACAGAAGAATGCAAAAGTAGGTTGAATGTGACACCCAATGAGGATTGAACTTGCTATTCAGTTGTAATTGATTTAGCAAGACAAGATTGCTAACCATTACACCACATTGAGGTGTCCATATGGTGATTTTTTATAAGCATAACTTAGATATAAGCTTGTTAACCATTACACCACCTTGAAGTACCCAATGGATTTTCTAAGTGTATTTTAGATGTGACACAAGGCCGAAAGTATGGTTCACCCATTTAGGATTGAACTTGCTATTCAGCCGTAATTGATCTAGTGAGACAAGACTGCTAACCATTACACCACGTCAAAGTGCCCTAATGCAAGTCATTATGTAAAGAAGTAAGATATACAAATGAAAAGATTAAAAATTGACAAGTTTTCCATTTCACTGAAGCAGATATTAAATATAGAGTGTTATTATCTCCTCTAATTTTTTCTTTCTTTCTTTTTTTTTATGTATGCTTTCTTTTTCTCACTAAAACCAAACAGCATCTGTTATATTTTTCCCAATAAATCTGAATGGTTAAACAAGCTAATAACTTACAAAATCAACAAATCTTTGTCAACACAAGGGAAGGCTTTGTATCTGATTCCTCTGCATAAGTTTTAGTTGTCACTAGAGCCTAAAATGTCAGGGAAGATTTTTTTTTGCATCATCATTTTGTAGACAGGGACAGATTCTTAGAAACAATGCCCTGTGTGAAGCTCTCCAGCTACCATAATTTCTCTTTTATTCATATTACTTTATTTTTAAAATTTTTATTTTTTTAGGTTTCCCTGTATAAGAGTTGTGCATCAAACGTGTGCTAATCAATGGACAAAGGCCTCTTCTAAATTGCTGACACACAAGATATTCTACCCAGTTGTCAGATCAACATCTCTACAGTCCTACCAAAATGGAGTAAGAAATCTTTCCCAATTTGGTTCTGTGAGGAATGTCTCACTATATCAAACCGGACAATCTTATTGCTTGCTGACTTTGAGAAATGAACCACCAAACAGATGGACAATCTGTCGCAGCTTCTTTGCTGGTCAGAATCAAAAGAAAAAGTATTACAAGAAAACAGTCTTAATATATGTTTGTGCTGTTGGCATCTTCATGGTAGGAATGAGTTATGCTGGTGTACCACTCTACAGAATGTTTTGTCAGGTATAAAAAAAAAAGTTACTTTTGTTTGGTTTTTAAAATTATTCTGTCTTAAAAATACTCATCATTTTTTTGTAATTTTTAAGGATTTCCTTATTGTTCAATTGGAAAATGATTTGTTGGGTTTCATGCAATAACATATTACACTTATTAGGCAAATGATAACATTTTGTCTTGTATGCTTGTAGATAGACTTTTGTTGCATTTTATGTCATCTCTGGCTTCAATTCTTCAAATGCCAACACTACATCATAGACTGCATCAATGACAGACAATTTATTTTTATAAGGGAGAGTAGTTGTAGCATTGTTTCTAGAAGGAGGAGATGATTGAGTGGATAGATGTCAACTGAGTAGCCAAAATCTTATCACCATATGATGGTTTGTTTCATCTGGGTGCGGTGAGATGTCTTGACCCTTCTAGCTGGAGAGCTAGGGAATATACCGTCTTATAGCTGCTTGACTGTCTTTGGGCTTATTATCTTAACTAAAACTTAGACAAAGGCAATCTGTCACTGTCAGAATTCCATGTCCACAGGGTTCAAACCACCTGCACTCATTTTGGGACATCAGTGTTCTGACCAGTAATTTGCCAATCTTGGCCAGTCTACATATTCTCTAATGGCTTCAACCACTAACTGGCATTTGGTACAATCATACTACTGTATCTAAAATTACTCATGCTTATTTTTAAAATTATAATTTCAAATACTAAGATATTTGAGCTATTCTGTTTATTGATTCGTTTTTAGAAAGTGTTAGAAATGTGTAAAATTATTACATCAAATGTTTTTATTGTAGTGTTTGGTTACATTGGCAAAAATATATATCGTTGTCAGCATTGATTAGTTTTGTGAGGTATAAATGTTTATTTTGTTAACATTTTATAATTATTGCTGTACCTGTTCTGTTAAAAATTAAAGCGTATTTTGTTGAGTCGTTATTTTTGCTAGGTTTTCAAATATATTTATTTTTCAAGCGTTCTAGTCTGGATTTTCATGGAATTGACCTTTTCACCACCCAGCTTTGTAAACATCTTTGAAATTTGTCAGTCTGAATTTCTGGGATAAAAATTTACCATTATTTACAGTTGGACTAATATCCTCATGTTTTGTTGTTACAAGATGAGATATCCTTAGATATGGGCAGCAGAACAAGAACAATCTACTCCTGTAGATTAAAGTGTTCAGTTCAAAATTCCATGAAGGTTACCCAGATCAACAAACACCTGAAGAAGACTGGAGAGCATAATAGCTGAAACGTGATTGTAACAATAAAGATGAGAACCTTAGTCTGATTGTAAAAAAATGTAAATAATCTTTTGAACAATTTGCCATCTAGCATCACAAGGGAGACAACTAGTTATATTCTTTGCACTGCCGTCATTAAAAGTTAGACAAAAATGTACAAATACACTTGGCCTATAGCAAGACTAGTTTATCAATGTTACCCGCCCCCCCCACCATCATAAAAAAGACTGTATATTTAAGTAATTATGTAATTGTATTGCTTGGTAGAGTAATGGATTGTGGTTTGGATTGAGGAATCAGAGAGCAGAGTTCGAATTAAGGTCAAGTTTGTTATACAGTGTAACCCGGATATAAGAGAGTTGTCGGGACCGGAGAAGAAGTCTCTTATATCCGGGTTTGGTCTATTTTGTTTAGGTAAGTATGGGAACACTTTGGGACCAGAGAAAATCTCTCTTATATCCGGGTTACACTGTATTCACTTACATGCCTTTGAGAAAGGTATGAATTCAACTCTTCTCCACCCTGTAGGAAAAATTGGGTTTTATAATCTTGGGTGGCAGTCAGTTTAAGAGAAGGAAAATTCTGAATTCAAAACTATGTAGCCCTGGTGAAGTGTATACTACAGCTAAAGGAAATGATCATTCAAATTGATTTGATGATCCTGACTACAGTGAATGCCTTTTTATTGCATTTGTAAAATAGCAAAAATTTTATGTTGCTCTGCATTGTCTTGTTTATGTTCAATACCTGAATATGAAACTGAACTGATAATAAAATTAAGATAATAATTGGTCCTCTGTCTTGTTCTTTTGTTATAATAATTTTAAAAAAAAAATTGCCCAATACAAGGCTGAAGAGCAACATTATTTGACCCAGTGTACATAAAACAATTTTTAATATATACATATATTCAATCCTTTCATACTTTGAAAGTTTATACTCTGTTAGGTATCTGTTTTTCTTTTATCACTCTCCTTGTCAGGATTATAGCATGTTAGACACTATTGATGTTACTGGTATTCAGACTTTCAATTTTTCACTTGCTCAATCTCTCAGTTAAATATATAGTTTGGTTGATTGATTTGTTTTTTATGGATTATCAACCCTTTGTTGATTATACAAAGCCAAAACATATTTTGGATTTTAAGAATAATTATTTTTTGTGCAAGTGAATATTGCATTAACAGTTTTTTAGAGATCATGTTTTTTTCAGATTCATGTCCTATTATTTAACTCATAGCTGGAGGAGAAGAAATGGATTTATACCTTTCTGGAGAATATTTGCACATAAATGTATATAATGAATTTGATTAGAATTCAAATTCTGCTCTGCATTCTGAGCCTCTATCCATTACACCACCCACACATCCAATCAAATAGTAGACTTCCCAACTCTTCTCCCTAATAATTTTGACCAACATGCCTTTTTACTTGATTTGTTCTTTACTTCCTCTCCTGACTCTTGCCGTGCATTTGTAAATCTGTCCTCTTGGCAATTTAGATCACATTGTAGCATCTGTTGACTTATCTGTTAGTCACGAACCTCTTCAAGACTTCTTTTTGTTACCAGCATAACAATTGGAATTCATTTTCTGTTTTTTGCGATGCTCTTGGAATGAAATCTTTAATCCTCCTATTCAAAATTCTGCTTCTGAGGTTTCTTCTGGGGTGGAAGTTGGCATCAAGGGTTTTGTGCCATTTCATAAATACTTGTTAAAACCAATCATTTCCTTGGTTCACACCTGCCTATTACACTTCTATAGTCCACAGGAATAACTTTTCTGGCTATAACAGTTTGATAGCTCTGATCACAACAGACACCTCTTTGTGTCTGCATGTAATAATCACAAATATGCCCTCAAAGAGGCTAAGTCATTAAGATAGAGTGACAGAGTGAGGTGCTGTATAGCCTCTGACATGTTTGGTTCTTATGACTAATAGTGGCTCTGTAAGAGTGTTTTAAATGAGGTTGTCCTCAATTCTTCCTCTCCTCAATCAATTTGAAGTGCTATCATTTTCTGCTGATAAAGCAGAATACTTTGTTTGTAAATTCTCTTCCAATTCTACTATTGACTCATCAGGAGTACTTTTGACTTACTTTCCACTTAGAACTAAATCTGTGCTGTGTTATGCCTATTACTCTGTCCACTATAATCTCCAAACTTGATCCCTACAAAGCATGTGAACTTGATGGTATCCTGCAATAGTCTTTAAGAAATATGCCAGAGAAATATATGGCTCCTGTTCTCTCTAAGCTCTACAATAGCTGCCTTGCTATTTCTTGTTTGTTGGAAATCCTCTTCCATAGTTCCTGTTTTTAAGCACTCTATTAAACTACCTGCTCTTTCAAACTATCTTGCACATTTATAAGCCTCTAATTTGCCCATGCATTAACTATTGCTGCCACATCTGGTTTGCCTGCTTTTATTTTATATCTAGAGATTCTTGACAAAATCCAAAGAGGAATCTGCAGTGTTATCAGTCATGACCTGACAGCTTAGCATCAGTCACCTTCTGACTACTGCAACGTGACTTCCCCATTTCTTTTTTTATAAATATTTTCACTGCAATGGTTCTGATGAGATTTCCTCTTTGGTAGCAACTTTATGAATTAAGTGCAGTACTAGAATGGCAGCTCGGTCTCATAATTTTACTGTTCAAATTGTTGTAACTAAGTTCTGTGCTAATAGCTTCTTCTCCCACACTTCTTGCCTTTCTATCAACTATGATCTTCAAAAATTTAAATGCAGTGTCAATCATTAACCTGTGTCTTCTTGAAACCTGTTCTTTTCTTGTCCTCTCTGTTTCTTTCACTCTTAGTAACCTCCTTGCATCTTAGTGGCTATTATTGCCTTTCTTAGAGTGAAATGATTTAAGAAAAACCCAGTGGTAGTTGCAATTTAAAAGTTCATTTAACAATATTTCTTGTACAGACTTTATTTACAGTGCAGCAAGATAGTATTTCTAATAGATTGAGTTTTTCTATCTGCTTAATGGTAAAAGAAAAAACTGCAATATTTATGTAGGGAGGTATAATAAAGACAATGGTGAGGAAGAACATATCATTCTTACACTTGGAAACATTTCAAAGACATTTCTCAAGACACACCAAAATTTTTAGTAGATTCTATGTTTTCTTTCTGCAGACATAATTTTTGTAGAAATCCAGTGGTTACCATTAGAATGATTGGTTATCAATCAGTGGTTACCATTGACAGTGACCACAGCCTCTCCCCTTCATCGTTATAGAAACACCAGTTCTTATTTGATCACTGAAGTTAAGCAGTGTCAAGCCAAGTCGGTACTTAGATGGGGGCTCCACTTGGGAGCACCAAATACTGTAAGCAACCTCTTACAATGCAAGATATATTTCAGCTTTAAATAATTCACAAATGGTTAACAAGCCATAAAAATAAACAAATCAATCATTATTATAGTTGGTATCATTGGTAGTAACTAATGCCTGTTTTGCCTGCAGTAGGTACCATTGATAGCTGCTGGTGATTAATTTCTTCTCTTCCTCTTTGAAATTTGTACCATTGGTGGTAACTAGTGACTGTCCAACTTAGAATTAGTATATTAATTACAGCTGTTGGTTGTAGTCTCTTACTTTATTTTATGCAGTTTGTACTTTTGATGATAATTGGTCACTGTTCTGCCTTCAGTTGCTACCAGTAATGGTAGCTGGTGACTATAGTCTCTCTCTCTCTCTCTCTACTCTTCAATTGGTCATCTTAATTGCTGCTCATGACTGTAGACTCTCTTTCTGGTTTCAAATGATTTGCTCACTCAGTGTTCAAGGAAAAATTGGTAATCTAATCATTTCTTCCTGAGCAAGGCAATAAAGCCACCAAGATGCAATGGGTTACTAAGAGTAAAAGAAACTGAGACAACATTGAGGGGAAAAAAGATAATAAAAGAACAGGATTCAAAGAGACAAGATGACAATTGACATTGCATTTAAATTTTTGAAGGTCATAGTTGACAGGAAAGCAAGAAGCCAGAAGAGTGTTCCACAGGTGAGAGGTGTAAGAGATGAAACTATTACAATAGAACTTATGGTTATATCTAACAATTTCAGCAGCAAAATGATTAGACCTAGCTACCAATCTAGTACTATGCTTAAATTCATGAAGTGTAGGTACCAAAGAGGAAAACTCATCAGAACAATTTCCATGTAAATATTTATAGAAAAGGCATAGGTTATAGTAGTGGGAAAGTAACTGAAGCTTAATTGCTTCAGGACTGCTAACGTTCCAGATTCTTTGTTGAATTTTGTCAAGAATCTTGAGATATATAACAGGACCAACAGACTAAATTTGGCAACAATATTCAATGTATAGATGAATGATAGATTTATGTGTAATATTTTCAAATTGATTATAAGCATTCATCGGTTAGCTGTTTGAAATTTAAAACAAACCTGATTCTTTAAAATTATTATTTCTCAATAATATTGTTTTATTTGTCTTCAACTATTTTAGTAAATTGCCAAACAATATAGCTTTTTTAGCCCCCAAATATAAAACTGTCAATGTTTTTTTGTTTTTTTTTTTTTTAAATTTAAAAATAGGTTTCATAACCTAAGCTGATTTAATTTTACTAACCCATTGAACAAGAGTGGCTGATGTACTGACCATTGTGTCAAAGTGCATACACCCAGGTAGCTGGTATACTGCCCAGATTCATGGACAGCAAAGATGGACAGTATAGACCTAGGGTGGGATATCCTTACTTATCAAGGGGTCAGGGATCAAAGAGTTAAGGGATGTGCATAGACTACCATCATTATCAGTGCAGAAACTGAAATTGGTAAGCTGAATTCAAATTCTAGTCTAGCCTGCTGTGTTAACTTTTGCACTAATGCCCTTGGAAAAGGTATTAATCCATCTTTTTCACTCCTCAGCTATGGGTTAAATACCAGGATAACCTGGGGTTGCTAGTCTTAGGTAGTAGCCAGTCTAAGAGAAGGAAAATTCTGAATTTTAAATTGTGGAGAAGGCAACAGAGAATCACTCTGCTGTTTTTCACTAGAAGACATGGCAATTTGCATATAATAATAAAAAAAAAAAAAAAGGATGTGTGGAGGGACATGATTCTCTAAATCCTGAAGAAAAATGGTATTTAAGAAGAAGAATGTTATTAAATTAGCAAGAGAAAACTTTCACAATTATTTATATAGTTTGCGGAAACTATCTGTTTTGCCAAAAAAGATGGCAATATTTTGGTAATTTTGCAATTATATTGATTATGGCTTCTGCATGAATACTGTATATATTTGTGTATAAGCCTACTTCATGTATAATGCAACCTCTGAATTTTTTTTACAAAAATCCTGATTTTTTCATATAAAGATGTTGGCCATAGTCAGGATAGAGTCAATGTGAATAATCCTTTCCTTAGCTGCATAGTATGTGCGTTGCCAGGGCTACATACAGTTTTGAATTCAGAGTTTTTCTTCAGGACAAGTTGCCACCCAAGGTCATTGTTGTAGTATTCCTACAGATGATAATGGGTATTTCCCCATTCACATAAATACAGTAGTAAATACTATATGTTGGTCTGCAGTTGGAGATTCATTGTGGAATTCACCTGACTCACTTCTAGCGGTTGATTACTTTTTCTATGTGCCACTGACGAATCTTATGTGTTGTTCGTGTCCTAAATATTATCATTCATTACCAACCTTCATGTGATTATTTTATTCAGTAACCTTCACTAGATTACAACAGTTATAGAACCTAGTTTTTTCTACTATTTACAAATACCTGGGTGGAGAAGAGTTGGATTCATGCCTTTTCCAAAGGTATTAGCATGTAAGTAGCTCCTGTATAATGCTACCCCAGTTTTTGAAAAAAATTGGAAGGCCAACTGTAGCCAAATATTACAGTACTGGCCATCGTGCTGGACATATTTTATAGCAAATAGTCTTCATTCTTTTTTTGTACAAAGCTATTCCAAAATGGTGAGAAAAACCACTTATCGTAAAATATCTGATATGAAAATTTAGATACTGTACTTTTGTTTTTGTTCATGCCTAGTTACGGTAGCTCCTTTACCCTGGGTCTGCCTCCTACATAGGCTAAGTTTTTTCCCTTTTGTTACCATATGAAGAGTCAATTCTCATCCACTATGTATGCCACTTAAAATCAACAAATACTTTATATAGATGAAAAATTTATAGATTTTCTTCCTATATAAAATTTGCATTCATTTTCATTTCACAACTGTTTACATTGCTGAAGTAGTGCCTTTTCAATGACAACCATTTTGTCACGATTACTGGTATGTAATACTAGAGCAGCTTACCTGTACTGTTAAGATTAGCCAAAAGTGCCATGAGAATGTAGGATTACCAGGTAGGTTACAGTCATGGAAAATAGATGCATTTACCCCCCCACACACACACACCAAGGAAAAATTACCTGTGTATAGTTTAACCAGTCATAGAAAATGGATGATTTTTAACTTCTTCTAAAAAAATTACCTGTGTATAGTGTGACCCCGTACTTATTGTGTAAAAACAACTGATCATAAAAACTTACTCTATACTTGATCATATATGGTAATCCATGATTTTTTTTTATCTATGCCACTAATTTTATTGTGACATGTAAAAAGAATTCTGTTATTTTAAATACTTAAATGTAAAAAAATATCAAATGAAAACTGAAACAAAGAGCAACCTGTTCATACTACTTATTGAAATAATCAAATATCTCAGAAAGTAGGGGAGATCAGGCTGTGTAACCAATAAATATGTAGTTACATTATAGAATAGATTATATTGAATATGAAATGAAGGTTTTTTTTTTTTTTAAAAACTGGAAAATGTAACTTTCAGTTTTTGCATTGATATGAAGAAAAGTATATCAATTTTGGTTCAGTTGTTGCTTAGAGATGTTATTGTTTGTAAATGATTGGAACTGGTTGTCTTCCAAATACAAGATGTGTCTGAAAAGTAACAGGACTGGTGTCACAAACAATTTATTTCAATTCCAAACAAACTACATGGTTTCCCCTTCAAAGTAATATCCCTTGAGTCTAATGTACTTTTCTATCCTTCTCTGCTATGCTTCTGTGCACTGCTGGAAGGATCCTTTTTTTTCCTCACTTCCATCATTATGGCCCTCTTAATGGCCTCCATGCCTTCAAAACGGGTCCCCTTGATGGATCCCCTTTGAGCTTGGGGTAAAGAAAAAATCACATGGAGCAACATCAGGTGAATAGGGAGAATGTTTCAGTATAGTGGTTCTTCTCAGCCAGGAACAAGCAGATGCTCAGGACATTGTGATTTGGTGCATTGTTCTGGTGAAGCAGATATGATTTGTTCTGCCACAACTGCATCATGTGAAAAAAATACAATGGTTGCAGAAAGCTAAGATTAGAGTTATATACTCCCAAGACATCATGTTAGATAATAACACTATCCACTTATCCCTTTTTTTGTCCATGGCTCACACAACACAGTCTGGTTACTTTTCAGACAGACCTTGTATATTTAGGAATATTCTGGCTTTTCTATATCAGTGTAGTTTATAATATTTTTAATCTTACTCTACTCATGGCTGCCCACTTGTTGTATGATGGCTATCAACAGGTTATGGTTGGATGAAGTATTTCCTCCTTCAGTTTCTATTAGCCAGATGGTACCTGCACAATTATTTATAGTCGCATATAGCTAGCATAGCATTATGTGAGTGCTTAGCATTAGGCACCTTTAATCCAGTGACAAGAATCAGTCAAGATCATTTGAGACTATCTACGTCACATATAATTCCAGTAGCTATTGCTATTTCCATTGTAAATGAGTAGTGATAGGCTTGTAATGTTTTTTTTTTCTGTTGGAAAGGGACATTTTTTGATCCCATCCGTCACTGCTTTGTTCTGCTGTCAACCTGATTAAAAAAAGAATCTCAGATTTTACAAGTATGTATTAGTACAGGAGAGCATCTCTATATTTATTGTAGACTATTTTGTTTGAGTTCTAGTGTCTATTTATCTAAAATTGTAAAGATGTTTATCAAATTCTTACTGGATAAAACAAGTTGAGTAAATAAAAATGATTGTGTTGCCCATAATAGAATTTGATTTAAAACAATACTAATTTGCACTTGATCTTCTCTTTTGTCAGGCCACCGGCCTTGGAGGTAAAGCTGAACGGATTGATGAGAAAACTCAAGTTGAAAATCTGAAGAAAGTGTCTGAAAGAAATATTGTTGTTCGATTTAATGCTGATGTTGCTTCAAGTATGCAATGGAATTTCCGGCCTCAACAGACATCTGTCAAAGTAAGTCTATCCGTTCAGTGCATATATGTTTCGTATGTGTGCACCAGAATGTAATACTTTAATAAAGGCCTTCTTCTGCCTTGTGTATGTGTTCAGTGTCGAAAGAGAGGGCATTTTGTTTGATACTATTGTGATAATACAATTTACATGAACAAATTTATAAATTAAACAATTCTAGTAATAGGATTCTTTTGTGTATAAGACTTAGATGTCATTTTCAAAGTATACTTTTCTATACTGTATTTCACTGCTTATAAGATGCTTCAGTGAATTAAATGACTACTCCCAAATTTTGAAGGAAGAAATTGGAAAAAAGTTTTTTTCTTGTACTTCATAGTCCTCCCCACTATCTTCAGTTTTACCCATTGATTAGTATACTTCAGCATGAAAACCTGACTAATCATGACAAATTCATCACAGACGGAGAAGTAGTACCAAATTTATGGTAACTATATAGAATGTAATAATTAGAAGAGAAGTTAAGGGGCATAATGCGTCTGAAACCAAACCTTATTGTAGCCTGAAATTCTTACTAATTGTGACAAATCCATCAAAAACCAAAATAGAGCACTAATTTTAAATTAGATACATGTAAATTTGGATACAGAAATAAAGTTAAGATTCCAGGGCTTAGAATCTGATGTAACTGGGGAGCTGGCACTCACCTCACACCCCAGTCTTATAACTCCTGTCATTGCTCTTTGATTTGTAGGGCATTGAGTGTTTTTTGGAGATACTTTATAAGAAAACAAGTCTTATAAGCAAAAAAAATACAGTACTTTATTTCTGTGTTTTTTTTTTTTTTTAAATTTTCTATCATTTTGATTTTTTTTTTTTTTACATTATTCTATTCAGTGGCATATTTTTCTAAATTTCATTTTTCATAAGTGATATTCAATAAATAGATGGCATAATGGTTAATGGCAGTGAGAAGAGAATTGGCAAATTGAGTTCAAACTCTGGCTGCAGCAGTTTGCACATACTTGACATTGATATATGTAGGAAAGGCAAGGATCCACTTCTCTGCACAGCTGTAAGTAAATAAAAGGGCAGTTTGAACAGTCCATTGTGGGTATTGGGCGAGCATTCCAACCCCCACCAAAATTGCTACAAAAAATCATTGTATTTTCATGGATTGTTCAAGATAGTGGAGAGAAAAATCATTTCCTCATCTGGTATTTTACATGAAAAGCAACATTGTATTGTTCTTTTAATAGTGAATCTCAGAAAATTGTTTCTGAGGATGGTTTAACTATACTAAATCATGTCAAAGAAATGAATTTCAGTGTATGTGTATATATATATATATATATATATATATATATATATATTTTATAATGGATTTTTATTAATCCAACAGATTGAAATCGGCTTTGTCTGACCGTTTTTTTCCTTTGTGGCCAAGTGTTAAGTCATGCCAGGCTAAACATTGGCTCTCTTCCCAGAGGGATGCAAGTTTGATTCCTGCTGAAAGGCGCAAAATCTTTATTTAATAAGATTTCTTGAATATTCAGGCTGGTAAGTGATAAGTAAATAAAGAAATAAATATACTGTTTAATAAATAAATGGAGCACCTACTCAAATACATGTATCCACTAAAAATAATGTTGAAAGTGATACAAATATATATATATATATATATATATATATATATATATATATATATATATATATATATATAATTCACTCAAGCATGTTTGGTTGAATAATCTAAACATATTATGTCTATTTTTATTGTAATCCTCTCAAATTTGCAGATCAATTTCTTAGTGTTATTAAACTGATTAAGAAAGATGCCATAATTTTGGTTATTTCTTTTATTTTCCCAAGTATTTTCAATCTCATCCAAGATCATCTTCAGGGGTGAATTGCTAAGACAAAAAATTAATGTAATTGATAATTGTAAATTTTTTTTGTAAATGCATTCAGTTATAGTCAGTTTAAAAATTAACTGTTAAGAATATGTAAGGGAGATAATTTATATTTTTTTATTATTAATGTTTTAAAATATTCAACTTGCAATTTAAAAAAAAAAATTTAAAAGAACATTTCTGTCCACATTCATGTTTTAGAGAAATATTAATTGACAATACAAGTATACTCCACCATGAAAATAAAAACAAAAACTTCAAATTCTTGAAGTGCTCTATATAAACAAAAATGTAACAAACATTAATTAAGATTAATTATGAGCATAGCAACAATGTTTTAAAAGGCCTATAAAAGCAATGTTTTGGGATACTCAAATTGTAAAAAAATTTTTTAAATTCTAGTTGAGTTTGTTACATTCACTTATGCACAAATACCCTTGGGAAAGGTAAGAATCCATCTCTTTCCCCCGGATATGGATTAAATAGTAAGATTTGCATCTGGAAAATCATTATTTCCCCCCAAAACTGTTAATGCAATATTCACTTACAAAAAGAAAATGAATTATTCTTACACTCAAAATATATTTCAACTTCAAATAACCCAAAAACGCTTGATAAGCTGTAAAAAAACAATCACTCCATCAATATTGAGTTTTGTTTTGATTTTTCTCACTGTATTTAGGTGATTCCTGGTGAAACTGCTTTGGCTTTTTACACAGCCAAAAACCCAACAGACAAAGCTATCATTGGAATCTCAACTTACAATGTCATACCTTATGAAGCTGGTCTCTATTTCAACAAAATACAGGTAAATATTCAACCTATCTACTTTTAGAGAAAAGTCCATATTACATTAAGTATATTTCAGACTTTGATCAAATCATAATGAAAGCATATATTTTGTAGTAGAGTAAAATGTTAATGATTGACAGGTCTGGAGTCTTATACCCCCAAATTTCAAACTGGGATGAAAAGCATCTTTCTTTATAATAGACTTGCACAATTAAGAAATGTGTAGAGTTACATTGATTGTAGAAAATCAGCTGTGGACCACAAGAGTAAATTTTTAGAGTAGATTACTAAGTATGAGTGAGATAGAAACAGATATAGAGAGAGAGGGATGATAAGAAAATTTAGTCTTTTTCTAAGAGTTGAAGAGATTAATTAGTTCCAAAGACAGTGAAATATTGATTGGATAAAATTATGCTTCCATTAATTTTCCATAATTGTAACAGTTCTCTGCTTGTCAAGAGATAATTATAAAACAGAATATGAAAATGACTCTTGAAAAACAAATGATTGTGGATGATCAATATTTGAATAACAAATAATATAGAGTGATTAATTTTTTTAATATTGTGTGAATAATCATTAAAATATTATTTGTGGAAATAATTTGAATATCAACAACTTCAATATTTGTTTAACTAATAATTTTTCTACTTACATTCCTTTCTTTTTTCATGTCTATTCTGTTTTCTAATAATTGTCAAAACTGTCAATTTATTTTCTTATACATGCAACATATAATAACTAGACAATGATTATACAAGCAGATACATACATTGCCTACTTCATTGGTTAAATCAAGTCAGCACAATTAAAAAGAAAATGGGAGAACCACATTGAATGCAGAAAATTAGTCATGAGATACAAGAATAAATATCTAGTGTAAATTGCTGAGTATGAGTGAGAAACAGAGGGAGAGAGGAATTTTGAGAAGATTATTTTTCTTTTTCTACAGAGAGTTAATAGGCTTAATTAGATAAAAAAAAAATGGTGGAATATTTGGTTGGATAAAGTCAGGCTTCCACAAAACTGAATTTTTTGTACATGATCAGTTGCTGAATTTATTCTGATATGTACAAAAATGTACTATTTTGAAAACCCCTTGCAATCCATCCTGGGTAATCTTGCAGGCCACATGTGCCTTATTTTGGGCAAGCCTGATTTATAGATTTAATTTTGCATTCATGAAATTCATGATTGAAAAGTTATTACATAATTAACTATATGATTGCTATTATTTTTCTTGTGAAATAGATCTACATAAACATGGTATTTTAATTGGTTCATATGTAAACCTTCTGTCTTCCTAATTCTTGTTCTTTTATTGTTTTCCCTCCCCTATATTCTCTCATGCTCAGAAACCCCTGATATAATAGTGGCTTTATTGCTTTGCTTGTGGTGAAATGATTTTAAAAAAAATAATGTTGGATTATAAATAAAATCCATTAACTCCTCAGTAATTACTGTGTTTACATTTCAAATAAGAAAAGTTTAAAAAATAAAATTTCCATGAGACTTGGCAGGTTGGGTAATTGTAAAGAAAGGGTTTTGGAATTGATGAATATTATGTTTATTGTTATTGACATATAACAAGGTTTTACAAATAGCAAATGAGATCTTTGAAGAAATCACATCATGTCATCTGTTAAAATGAAAATAAAATAATGCAATAAAAACAGACATAATAAAAAGGGATAAGGAAATTGCATCTGCAGTAATTGGCAATACGAAATGAAGAAAAACTGAAAAAAGAAAAAAAAAATCTATAACATGAGCTAACTGGTTATTGCTCCTCACTCATCCAAACTAGACTGAAGAATTTAAAATATTGTGCACACTGATTTAAAAAACAAACAAAAAAAAAAGATGGGAAACATGAGGAAAGAAATTATACATGTATCAATAATATATTGACATGAGTATGTCTATTGGGTTTGTTACATTCACTTATGTGCAAATACCCTTGGGAAAGGTATGAATCCATCTCTTCCTCCCAACTATGGGTTGAATAGCAGGACAGACTAAGTCCTATAACCTTGGTTGTTAGCCAGATTACCACAGAAATAAATGTCAATCTACTGTAGGGAAATCTTCTGACTACTCAGTTATGAATCAAAGGAAACATGATCACCAATGTATGTATTACATATGGCATTTAACTGACTGATATCTGTAGACAGATCACACTAAATAAATTCTAACAAAATCCTTATTTGCATAAATAGATTCATCAATAAATCCATAATGTAAAGATGTAAGAAAAAGATGTTGGTTTTTGAACAGAGGTTTATCACTTGTTTCTTGTTTAGTATTGGGTTTCTGGTTCCTTCTAAAGTCTACTTCAACATAAAATTTCAGAGTGGAGGCATTAGAAGTATAGACTTAAATTTTATTTACTATTTATTTTTTCTTCAATTGGTTTAGATACATTTGCCTATTAATCCAGTTCACACTCCTCCCTATCTTTTGAACAGGAGTAGGAGTTTATCCCTTGTTTGCTTTTAAAGTTGGGTTTTCAGTTCCTTCTGAACTCTTTTGCGTTTACTTTCACTTCAAGTAGCCCCTTGCGTTTTAGTGACGTCATTACCTTGCTTTGGGTGAATTGATTAAAAAAAATTTCTTCTAAATATTTATTTTTCCATATAATCTTCTTGTCAATGCACTTAATCTAGTACTTCTCCATTAATTACATAGGTTAAATGTTAATCAGTAAAAATTAAAAAAAAAAAAAAAAACTTAGATAAAAATTCAGCTAACTTATATCAGGCTATAGATATAGTGATCTACCCTGCATTATTCAATACCTTGTTCATTTTCTCTGTGTATATAGTCAGTCAGTTATGTGCTATGCGTGATGCACATGATTTCCTAAGTGTGTATCATACTTAGGCGCTCATGTATTTTTTGATACATGACTGACGAGGCAGATTTTTTCCTGCAGTAGATTACCATTTCTTTCTGTGGTAGACCAGTTGCCATCCAAGGCTATAGAACCCAGTCTGTCCTGCTATTTACCCATAACTGGGGGGAGAAGAAGAGGATTCATACCTTCCCCAAGGGTATTAGCACGTAAGTGAATGTCATGGATTCAAATGGAATTCGAATTCAACTCTTCGATTCCTCAATCCGAGCTGCTATCCATTACTACACCATGCCTCCCTGTGTGTATATAAACATATATATATAATCATTTCATCCCCAAGCAAACCAATAAAGCTACTATGATGTAAGAAATACAAGTAAGTATGAGAAAATATGAGAAAAAAGAAAATATTATTAAGGAGACAGAACAATAAAAGAACAGGAATTAAGAAGGTAATGATTCACATTGCATTTTAATTTTTGAAGATCTAATTTGACTGGAAACCAAAAGAGTCCCACAAGCAAGAAGTGTGATATAAGAAACTGTTAGTATAGAGCATATGGTTACATCTAGCCATTTCAACTGTAAAATGACTTTACCACCAATCTAGTACTACACTTTAATTCATAAATTCTAGGCATCAAAGAGGAAACCTTATTAAAACAATTACCATGAAATTATTTATAGGAAACGCACATTGAATCTACATTATGACAATGGGAAAGTGACTGAAGCTGAGATGTCAGTATATGATTGATAATATTGCAGATTCTTCTTTGTATTTTATCAAGAATTTTTAAATACATAGTAGAAGCACCAGACTAGATGTAACAGCAACATTCAATGCATGGATGAATGGTAGACTTGTAAATGTGTAAGATAGATTCTGGCTAAAAAAATTGTCTAGCATGACACAGTGAACCAACTTTCCTAGCAGTAGACATAGCAAATGATCCAATATTATTATTTTATGTACTGGCGTTTTCTAATTAAGAAAAGAAAGACTATAAAGAAATATTTTTATTACTCTCTTGATTACCAACCCATGCTTGTAGTTATATTAATCCTATTTAAAAGGGTCAGGGGGATTTTTACCATTTTGGTCTTTCATACTTCAAAGGGAATGTGCAGGTAGCATCACAGTTAGTATCACAGTGGAATCAGTGAACTGAATTTAAATTCAAATCTAGTCTATTTTGTTGACTTTGTACCAATGCCATTTGGATTGGTATGAATCCATTTCTTCCCCCACTTACTTGTTTAAATAACAAGTAGACTGAGTTCTCAAATTTTGGATGACAGCCAGTTTAGAAGAAGGACAAATTTGAATTCCAAAATGTGAAGAAAGCAACAAATCACTCAACCGTCCCACAAGTTATGACAATTCATAGATAAAAAATAAAAAGAATCTGTGGAGAGCAGTGATTGCCTATGTCTTGAATTGAATGGATGTAGTGTTTTAAAAATATACTTCAAATAACATATTTAAATTATTGCAATACTTGAAAAAATGTTTAAAAAGTGCGTGGTATGACCAAATTTAAGAGATAGGAGAAAGACGACAATATATTGCGTTAATAATAAACTATAAAATTAATTTCAGTATTGTCCAAATTTAAAAATGTATAAATCAAGGGAGGCAACCGTATCAAACGTTATATCAATTTCAAGGGAGGTAAACGAGATGGCGACATATTTTGCCCGAAATTTTTAGGTATTGTTTTTATTTTATCATATTTTTAATTGTTTTTGTTTTATCATATTTTTTATTGTTTTTTTTTTGTTTTTCTAATATTCTAAAAATAGAATATTGATGCATGGCATAATAACTGTTGCTTCAAAAGAATCTAAAGTACTTTATCATCCCCTTCCAAATACGTAATTGAAAATGAAATTATTTAAACATTTTTCAAAATTAATACTTCTAAGCAGTGAATTAGGAATCTACAGAATGCCCCATAAAAAAAAAAAACAGAAAATTTGGCACAGTTTATTTAATTGTTGGAATTTTTGTTACAGTTTTTTTAAACAAAAGTAAAGGATAGACATTTAGAAAACAGAACAAAATACTAATGTCAGATGTGATGTTCAAATTTAAAAAAGTTAATTTTTTTTATCATATAGTATATCTAAAATCTCCTGTCTTTTTTTTTGTA